CTACGAAAATCTGAGATTCATCGATTCGTATAGGTTCATGCTGGCATCGTTGGCAAAACTTGTCGATAATTTGCCCAACGAAAAGTTTTTTCTGCTGGAGAACTATTTTGAAAAACTCGGCCACTCACGTGAAAAAGTCAGTCTGTTGAAACAGAAAGGGCATTACCCCTACTCATACTTCAACTCATTCGAAAAATTCCGAGAAACTCGCCTTCCCCCACGAGCAATGTGGAAAAATAGTCTAACAGGAGGGGATGTGAGTGTTTCAAGAAGCGAGTACAATCATGCCCTTAAAGTTTTCACCGAAATGAAGTGTGGCTCACTTGGTGATTACCACGACTTGTACTTGACTACAGATGTGCTATTGCTTGCTTCCGTTTTCGAAGCTTTTCGTGAAGTTTGCTATCAAACATACGGGCTGGATTGCGCCTGTTACTTCACGGCAAGTAACCTTTCCGGGGACGCCTTTCTAAAAGTTTGTAAGCCCGAACTGAAACTCTTAACGGACCGTGAACATCTAGACCTTGTGCAGCGAATGATACGAGGAGGCATGTCGTCGATTTACGCGCGCCGATTTTACAAAGCAAACAATAAATACCTCTACGATTTTTCGCCCTCAGAACCATCAAGCTACATCCTCAATATTGATGCAAACAATTTGTACGGGGGGATAATGAAACACTGCCCTTTGCCCTTAAACGATTTTTCAATAGTTGAAAAAAGTCTGGCAGACATACTGCTCACCAGCGAAACATCAGAATGGGGTTATATAGTTGAAGTCAATTTAACCATACCCGAAGAGCTTCACGACTTCTTTGCTGATTACCCCCTTGCCCCCTCTCGTGAAGTAGTGGACATCGGTGCAATGAGCAACGAGCAAGTCGACATGTTGGGAAAATTGGGAATCACCACACTGCCAAAAGTGCCAAAGCTTCTACAGACCTTGCATCCTAAAGAAGGTTATGTTTTGCACTACCTTACCCTAAAATTGTACCATGAGCTAGGAATGAAAATAACTCACCTCGGAAAAGTTCTTCAGTTCCGCCAAAGTCACTGGATGGCACCCTTTGTCGACCTCAACACCCGCCTACGAAAAGCCGCGGTAAATAAATTCCAGGAGAACTTCTACAAGCTAATTGTTAATTCAGCTTTCGGTAAGACAATGGAGTCTAAGTTAGGAAGAAAGAAGCTGGAGATTGTAAGGAATGAGAGAGAACTTTTACAAAAAACAGCTCTGAGCACAATGAAAAGCTTTCAAATCATTGACGATCAATTAGCCACAATTAGCTTTTCAGTAACAAAAATATTGTGGGATAAACCTATGATAGTTGGTGCGACCATCCTAGACCTCGCCAAGCGTTTCATGTTTCAGTTTCACTATCAAAAAATGAAACCAAATCTAAACTTGGAACTCCTTTACTCCGACACGGATAGTTTTATTTACGCCATAAAAACTGATGACGTTTACCGAGACTTGGAGAAAATAAAAGCTGATTTCGACTTTTCAAATTACGATAAGGACCATTTCTTGTTCGAGGATACCAACAAGAAAGTTGTGCTGAAGTTCAAAGACGAGACTGGTGGGAAGCCGATCAGAGAATTCATCGCCCTAAAACCGAAACTATATTCGGTCGTCCTTAATGGTAAATAAAATTTAAGCCACCCTTCCACCCCCCATTCCTACCTTTTACAGAACAAAAATACCACCACCAACCTACCTACACCCCTTAATTTGTTGCATTAAACTATGGGCATTTAGCTGATTTAGGCAACATTATACAATGTTGCCTAAACGTTGATTTATCTGACAACATATTCCCTCTTGTTTCCTCTTTTTTAATCATAATTTAGAGTCTTCTGCTCTTTTTTGGTAAAATGAATCAAATTTTGTTCGGTATAAATTGAGTTGCTGAAGTGAAATGAAGCTATCCCCAACGTTGTAGAAAAGAATAATAATTTTGCTATTGTTTAGAAGGCACTCAAAAATTGAGTGCCAAAGGAATTAAACGGAGTGCACAGAGAGAACTGGTCCACCAAACCTTCAGGGACACATTATTCACTGGAAAAACAATGAGAGTATACAACTATAATATAGTTTCGAAAGGTCACACCAATATGACAGTGAAACAAAACAAACTTGCATTATCACCATTCGACTCAAAACGTTTTCTACTTTTCGACGGAATTTCGACAGTGCCCTTTGGCCATAAAGCCGCTGAAGAAAATGCTTTTCTAGAAGACATTTACATGGACACCGAGTGGGCCAACTCATACAATGAAACTGATAACAGTTCTCCCGATTTTACACTCCCGGATTGGGGATTTTTACAGCGGCCCTACTCAGAAGCAGAGCTGCAAGAAGAAGAAGAAGCTTCTAGTAGCCGAGTCCGTGAACGTCCCCCTATAAAAAACCCATTTATTTTATCTGAAGCTTCAGAAGAACGACCATCTAAAAAACACCGCAAAGAAAACCAAAACAATAAACATTAAAGTCTGAAACATATATTTTCAGATGATTTTTACTCTTCGTCCTTTTTATACTTCGACTTGTATATGTTTTGGTTTTTACCAATTTACAACTAATAAAATACTCGTATTGAGCTCAATCACTGTTTTAACATAAATAGCTTCAGGCAAATAAACTAGTAGACACAAACCAAGTGTTAATTCAAACAAATGTGTGAAATCCTTAGGCTTGTTTTGAATAATAAACTTTAATAGCATGACAAATCTTTGACGAAAAGAAAGAAAGCCAGGAAATGATATCCACATGAAACTAGGACGAAAAAAGAAAAGTTCAGGAATTAGGACGATTAATTTTAATTATCGCGGGAAAAGGGACCGCTTTCAAAGGAATTAGAAGGAATTATTGTATCGCGTCCCGGTTGTTGAGCTCAGCTTAACAAGATCCTAAGGAGGGGGTCTTTTACTTTAGGGGTGGGAACTTGCGATCATTTACAAAATCCTAGGATAGGGTTCCTCCAAAAAATTAAGGACCCCTTTCCTAGGATTTTGCTTTACGTGAGGACCCCCCCCTTAGGAAGGACCCCCCCCTTAGGATCCGGGACACGATACAATACTACTAAGGTGTTCTTGCCGCGGAAAAATATTTCAATCGAGTAAGCTTTTTGTGAATAGCTTCAACTAGAATGTGTTAGAATTAAATTGGCAACTAGCGACGACAAAAATCATTAAGTTTCTCGTTGAAAACAGAATGTCCCATGACTGTTTATAAAAAGTTCAAAAAATACTCTAATGTTCTAACAAAAATAACAATCATCAAACTTCATGTTTTTTCACAAACTTATCAAATTGAGCTTTTGAAGTCAATATACTCACTTTTTTCAAACGCGTTTTTCTATTGCTGCAGTTGGTCTAAAAAAGCACCACGAGCGTATGTTTTCTACTACTTTCTTCGAAAAGTTTAGCAGAAGTATCAATCAGATTAAGCAAATCAACCGGAATTGACAGAATTCTGAAAACCCCTCGAAAAGTCATCGTTCGATGAATTTGATTTTCTCGGAAAATTGCCAGAAGCAATAGAAAATACCAAAATTGGTATTTTTAGTTAATCATTGAAAAATACTTGCGGGAATCCAGAAAAATCCATTACAACGAAAATCTTCGTGCTTGCGAGGTCCACAAGCAAAATTCTTGTGACAAAAATGGGGAAGAATTTTTTATTCGAGTGTGTATTTTTTAAAATTTTTTCAACTTTTTTGTTTTCCACGCAAAATTAAGTACCGCAATTAATCATTGGACAGAGTTGAGTGATATATCTCATTAAAACCTTTCTAGTCGTGATTCGAACGACATCAGAAAATTTCGAAAAAAAATTTGAAACTTGTTTAAAAATTTTGATTTTGCATCTTAATTCAAGTGAGTTCTCATGTTGTATACAAATCTTTATTCTTTTGTCTAACCTCTAAACTTGAATCGCCGAAACAAGAGCGACCATTTTTTGATGCCAGACCTGCCATTAGTTGTCTGTCAAACTTGCGCTACATGAAGAAATAGGCACGGTCATCAGCTTCCCAGAAGCAATTTTGAGCCAATAAATTCAAGTTCTTTGTTTTTTTTTGCAAAGGTTTTTCCACGACAAGAATACCTCTTACAGAAGTTTTGATTAGCGAGTGAAACAACATCTACAAAAGAAGGTTTTTCAATTTTCGATTGAACAAGCTCTTTTTGAATAGCTTCAACTAGAGTGTATTAAAATCAAAATCGCGAGAACGCGAAAAAAAATCTTTATTTTGCTCGTTGAAAGCAACAATCAGCAATTTCTATGTCCCGTGACTGTTTGTATAGTAAGAAAAAACGCAAAAAAGTAGTCCAAAGTTTTTACAAACTAGAAATTTTTCAGACCCCATGATTTTTTACAAAGTTTTTGTATTTAAGTTAGAGAAACAACTTATCACTTTTTTCAAAAAAAAATGAGAAAAACGTGTTTTTTCATTGCTGAAAGTGGTCTAAAAAAGCACCACACAAATATTTATTCCACTACTTTCTTCGAAAAGATAAGAAAAAGTATAATTCGTTCAACCATTTTCAGCAAACCAACCGGAACAGGTAGATTTCTGATCTCCTTTCGAAATTTGGTCATTCAATGAATTTGATCACCTAAAAAACTGCTAGAATTGTTTTCGATATTTTTTTAGTTATCCATTGAAAATAGCTCGTGGGATCATAACTAAGGCTTAAATGGAGCTATTTTTAGCATGAACTTTGCCGCACTTGTGCACCAGTTTTTTCAGCAGAAGAGATCATTAAAAAAACTTGTTTCTTGTGAGTTCCACGAGAAAATTTTTGGCTCAGTATCTTCACAAAATGAAGTGGGAAGGAATTATTTCATTGGAATTCAAACCTATAAGAATGCTTGCACAAAGCTCAAAAATATCAAAAATGATGCTCTACAATTGATAGTCATCAGACATAGTGAAACAAATTTTAACCCGAACTTTTCATCTCAAACTTATTTTGCATGCAGGATTTTTTTTTAGCTTCTGCAGTGGTAGTCGAAATAGGAGACTTCACTTCTACCAGAACATTTCTCAAGAAAAGATTTACGCAGAAGATATTCATACCAAACAAGTGAGTTTGAGTCTTAACTTTCAAAATGTAGAAGTTTTTGACACTTTTTTCCGCCAATCGCCCCCCCCCCCCTCCTCCACCTGTTAACATTTATGAGTAATTTTCTGTTCGAATAGCCCAATTAAAACAATTTGGCCATTATAAACATATTTCGTCTTCACCTTGTAAAACACCTCACTACACCAGAAAATTGATGCTAATGTAAGGGAGGGGAAAGGAAAAAGAGCCTAGTTTTGGGTCTGAAACTTTCGGTTATACCTGGTCAAAAATTCCAAATCAAAAGGTAATCTCAACTTGGATATAGCTTTCAATTTCAAGCAATGAACTATTCCGAACCTCGCCGTAGAGTGGCCAGGGGGGGATCTTCGGACTAAATTCTTGTCGACCCTTTGGCACTAATTCACGAGACCCATTTTTAGTTAAACCACCCACATTTTGTAAAGTCCTTTTTAGTGCCAATGTACGTTAAATTAGAATCACGAGCCAAAACGACAACGAGCTTTTTTGGTCACAACTTTTCAAGCGCTATTTTTGGCCTAGCGGAGCTCGGAAAATCGAAAAGGCTGACGCTGTAAAAAAAAGATCGACCAAAATGTTTTTCACACCCCTTCTCGAAAAAAGTGCTCAAAAACCACTCATAAATCGAAAAATGACAAAAAAAATTTCCAATTTTATATTTCGTTTGTGTTTCAAAGAATTTAGCAACACCTAAATTTGTGATTGATTGTTGCTGGAGATTCAACATTAATTTAAATCTATTTCAGTTTTGAGAAATCGAACAGACCCCTGAACAACATCGCCCTCCTTCAACTCTTTAAACGAATCAACGCATTCCACCAGATTCAGATTTGCCCCAAACCCATGGACCTGGGTCATACTCTGGCATTCACTGGATTGGGATCTACCACCAGGAAACTCACAACGCTACCCAAAACCCTACAGGAAATGCCACTTTATGAATCAGGAATGTTTTCCAGTTTCTCCACATATTAAAAAAAAATTCACTCAAATTTAGCAAAGATTTCTTTTTATTGGTATTCATTTCCAGTCGATGAGATCATTTTTAAAGTTACAATTACAATATAAATACGCGTGAAAGAAGCTTTCAGATTGGATGATTGTGATTACAATTTAAAAAATATAAATAAACTCAACCATAATGGGAAAAACGGAAATATTTCTGGTTGAAATGCAGTATTCGAGTCAGCGAGTCCATTTGAGATGGAGGGGTGTCGCAGTCAAGACATATGCACAGAGAATATTCTAGAAGATTCCAACATGTGCATGCATGACGAAGGTAGTCCCATTTTCAGTCTCCTGTGCGTCAGAGCCACTCAAATAGTAAGATCACCATTGTCTTTGATATTTGCGACCAAAAATTGATCCTTTGTCAAATTATATTTTGAATTTCCAAGTCACTGGCGAATATACTGGCAGAAAAAAAAATGTTCGAAAACACTATACCAAGCTTAGCCCTGTAAGGTTAGTGGTGTACGAATAACATACGAACTTAGCCCTCAAAATTAGTAGTGTATATTGTCATCTGACGCGCCTTTAGGAAAATCGTTAGTCGGCCAAAAATGAACGTGGTAAAAGAGCACCTAATGGGATCTTTTTGCTGGCGATGTTGCCACCAATAGTCAAATATGGAAAATTCCCCCTCCTTAATCGGCCCCTGAAAATACCTAAGACTCGTAATATCTGTGAATTTTTGAAAAAGTACATCACAATTATCCCCTTTATAGGTTAAACCCAACTGTCTTTATGGAGTAGCCAGTTACTTCATCAACAAAACTCACATCAATGGTCATCCGCCCATGCAGTCGGGAAGTATCTGCAATGACGGGAGTGTGTTTGCCAGACTCACCAACCATTTAGACTGGATCTATAGTGTGACAGGCCAACTTCACTGACTAATTACCCAATCATTTCAGAGCTATAAAAATGGTGAATTACTTTTCATTTGAATACGGTGAAATCTATTTTTGATTAGTGAGTTTTGTACCTGAGGCAAATTTCGCTTAACTGATAGAAAAGATGGAGGCAGGGGAAAGTTCTCACGCCAGAGTAAGTACTGATTGTTTGGTCACGAGAACTGCCCGAAAAAGATGCCTTTATTTGGTCACGAGTGATAAAATGTTTCTTTGTTGTAGCTAAATCTACTTTATACAATTAAAAGAATAAAAAAATAAAAGTAAATTAGTCTAAAAATAAAACATTATTAAAAGATAGAGCATTCTCTCCGCCGGAGAGAATGTCAAAGTGAAGGTCATAAGTAAGTGAACTGTTAGCAAGTTACGTAATAGTTGCCGTAAATGCAAATATAAAGCGAGAATCACATCATTCCTCTAAGCAGGAAAAAATTCAAATTGTACAATTAACTAATTACTAACTAACTGCATCCTTTCTCCCCCTTTTGGAGAATAAAATTTTAATTTACTACACCAATAGTGTACTGTAACTAAACTAACGAAACTGGCTTCATACGAATTAATGGATCTTTGTGTGAATTTCGAAATCGTTATCCAAAAGTAAAACGTCTAATATCCGGCGGATATAGTCCAATAAGGGGTTAGGAAAATAAATCATCATAGGTTTATGTTGACGAGACGATGAACATACGCGTTCTAGGGCAAAACAATTGACTGCATGAGAGAGGAGTACTGCGGCATACGGTACATATGAAAATTTAACTTAATCCGAAGGATTGGTGTCCGGAATAGATTAGATTGAAATAGCACCAAAGCCAAATATGGACGAAGTATAATCATTTACCCTTACGATAACAGTTTGAAAAGTTTTCTAATTCTAAGTTAAAAGGTTCACTATCGAGATCTGATTGTTCTTCAAAGTTGTCAATCGCCATTCTGAGGGATTCGTCTGTTGATGAGGAAGAGATTTGTTCAGGTGTGGAGGATTCCGAATTGATCGTGACGATTTCCAAAGAGTTTCGCTGTTAATATGGTCCCGTTTATCGCTATGGCTGATCTAGGATGATCGGGTTTGATGCCGAACCAGAGGTCGCTTGAGGTAGATCTACAACATCTATTAAGAATCTTTTGCCGTAGAACTTTGGTGGACCTACATTTCTACTAGACCGGTGAATAATAGGAGAAACGTTACCAGGATTAGTTTGGAGCCCGGTTGCGGGAGTGGTCTCGTCAGCAGAATCTACAATTTCGTAGACCGGGAAGTTTGTCGTGGCGTCTTCTTCCATCGGAACAGTTAAGCTGTTCTGTGAGTCGAGTACCTTTGCGATCGTGGCGGCCTCGGCTGACGTGGATGACTCCCGACCCTGCGGTGCCGGCTGTGTCTCCGCCGGAATGATGCTCTTTGGGCATTGTGTTTGTTGGTCGTCTTCTGGGTTAGTGATGTCCTTTAAAATCTCAACTTTAATGTTATCGTTGGGTTCGCAAAAACTACGGGTATTCTCCTGGTTCGAAGTTTTCATTGAGTCGAAAATAAATCGTTCTCTGGCTACATCTCTACAAGGGAAACCTCCCGTTATCCATTCCCAGTCACTAGTATCCGAAATATCCGACGGAATCAACATAGATTCGTCAGAAGCAAAGTAACCTGGGGGTGTTGTTATCTTCTTGGACCGGGGTGGTTGTCTCCGAGTAGCTTTTGAAGAGGGCTTCGACACACGTGTCTTTGTCATGTTGTCCAATGATCCTAGTTCAATCTGATGTCGGGTCCTGGGTTGTGGCTTTCGGGTTTTGATCTGTCGTCTTGAGTTCTCGCGTTTCCAACCAACTTCAGCGTTAGGCTTAGAAAATTAAGGGAAAGAAATAATGCCTCTAAAAGATCTAATGTAAGTCGATTTTGATTTAGGAATAGCAATATCCGCTTTTCGAATTTTTTTTCCGTCGGATAGTTCTACTGTCGAAGTAGACGAATTTATGATCTTTTTGTTTAATTCCCGATAAAATGTATCTCCGTTGATACTTCCGTTAGTTTTCCGTAGGATTTTACATTTAAACGGATTCTGTAGTGGTATTCTAGTAATGGCAGTTTTCGAGGTGGAGGCGTAATCCGTGTCGTAACTTTTCTCCGTTGGTGATAGATTTTTCTTTGGAATCAAGGTGTCCATGTACCCATCTTCGAATCTGTCATCGGTATTCCAATCCTTTGCTTTTTCCTTAGATATTATGTGTTTCCCCTTGTCTAAAAATCCAATGGATGGTTTACCCGACGCCAATTGTTTCCAAACTGTATTTGGTTTTCTATTAAACTGAATTTCAAAGGGAAAGCATTAAATTTTTGATTGGTAGGAGGATCGTAAGTTCCAAATAATTTTTGATACAGCGTTTTGTAATGTACATTTTTGTGCTGCTTGGGCCATGGCTAACAATTTGATTTTTACATCATCTACAAGTTTTTCAACTAATCCGTAGGAGCGATGGTCTCCTACTGTACAAAACATAATTTCAATAGTATTTGAGTCGCGGAATAATTTAAAGTTTTGACGTGTAAAAGAAGATGCATGGTCGACTCTTATAGAATGAAGAATGCCATGTAAGAATATATAATCTTGTAGAAATTCGATAACTGTTTTTGAAGAGGTAGAAGAGATAATTTTTGACGAAGGAAATTTTAAAAATCGATCGATGCAAAGTTAAATGAATTTGTTCGACCCCCAGTATGAGTCTAATGGTCCAGCAAAATCTAAATTTAGCTCATTGTTTGGTTCCAGTAGGTGGGGAAGTTCGCTGATCTGCAAATTTGGAGTTATAATTTTCAAATTCTTACCCGTAATAGTACATTCTGAGCAGTTTATGCCGTGGAAGTAAATTTGCCTCTTAATATGGGGCCACCAGATGTATTGGTCCAAATACTTCATTCCAAATTGACCAGGATGGGTTTCATGGAGAGTCTTCATCATCGCGTTTGTCAGGGTAAACGGTATAACAAGTCTGCCATCCATGTACAATAATCCGTCGGATTCGTGTAAGTCTCTGGTAAAGAGTTTGAAATAAGGGGAGTTCGCATTAATTGTCTCAATTTTATTTTGAAGTGCTACTACGATAGGGCTCAACGAAGGCTCGTCTTCAGTTAGGAGAGCTATAAGCTTGGCGTTAAAAAGAGTATTTAAATCCAAGTGACGATCGGGCAACTTCAACTTTTCGCGGTATTTATTTACAAGATTCTGATGATCTTTCAATAGAGGGAAATCTAAAGATATTGAAATACCAGAGGTAGACGGATTGACTACGATTTTATTATTTTCCATATTAACAGTATCTACAATTTTTGTTATCTATAGGTGAATTAAATATTCTACAATTAAGAATTAAGAAATAAAAAATGCGGGGTTAGAAATGGAAATAATTAAAGAATTTGTGTTGGAATAATCCGTAGGAATACAATTTGATGTACAAAATTCAGTTCTGAAGTGATTAGATGAACAAGTTGGAAAAGTCGAGTTAAACAGTTTTAGTACTGATGCTATAAAGTAATTACGTAACTTTGCGTAACCGGAAATTTCCAAATTTGAACCAATGGCTGAGCTGGTCTTTCTTTCTTTCTCCGACGGATTGATTGATTTATCAATTATATTAATATTGGCTACTACAAAATTTTTGTCATAATGTGATATTGGTAAAGTTTTTTGGATGGAATTCTTGAAATTAAATCAGTAAAGCCCATATCTTTTCCGGCGAGGTGTTTAATTGTAAAATTAAAAAGGTAGTAGTCTACCCACCCATCTTGTTAGTCTGCTAAGATATGTTTTATTACCGTGATTTGTCGACAGGGCTGATAGCAATGCTTTGTGATCTAGCAGTTCGAGTTCGTTAGTGGAATATTTTGACTCTTAAGGATTTAAAAACCCTGAAGCAAAAGAAATTGTTCTCCAATCACTCCCGTGGAATTGTTCAAGGGAGTTCCCCAACCCATTGTGTGAAGCGTCAGTTTTGACTCTACTTTTACGTCTTACGTCAAAATGAGTATTTTCCGCGAGGTTGGTGATTTCTTGTTTAATTTTTTCAAACGCTTTTGTATAGTCTGAGTTCCACTGGAGTATCGATTTCTTATTTAACAGAGGTCTGAGTGGGCTTCCTAAAAAGCTAAAATTAGGATTAATTTATTGTACTCCTTTATAGATCCGAAAAATGATCTCAATTTTTTCAGATTTTTTGGAATAGGTAGATCCTTTATCGCTTTTGTTTTGTCGAATAAATGTGAGATTCCTGTGTTTGAGATTTTAAATCCCAACCATTCGATTTCTTTTTGAAAAAATTTACACTATGACCATTTAACTGAGTAAATATATTCCTCTAATGTCGATAAAATTTTTAACACAAGGTTTTTGTGGTCTAAGAAAGTTTGATGCGATTAAAATATCAGCCAAGTAATAATTGATAAAATAGAAATTCTCTAATGTTGAATCCATACTCTTTGGAATTCATTAGGCATATCGCCTAAACCGTAAAAGCCAGTTGAAAATTGGTAAGTGCCAGTAATATTGCCGCCCACCATACTAAAATTACATTGGTTGCTGGTAAACTTGTCTAAAGCGAGTTGGCTCTATGCACTTTTTAAATCTAAGTTTGTAAGCCATACTTCTACAACGGAATCATTTGCTATTTGTGCTCCTACATTGTCTACCAGATCATAAATTTTCGGCATCTGGTATTTATCCTTGTATATTTGTTTGTTAATGAACTTTGAATCCAGGGCCAACTTGATTGATTTGTCTTTTTTGCAAGTGATGACGATTGGGCTAAAAAAAAGATCTTCGTCGCAGTTTTCTAATTTTTTAATGTCCCTCGTCTTTTAACCTGTTAAGTTTAGTTTTGACTGAGTCCAATAAGTGGAGGGGGACTCGTCTTCCTTTTAGGTGGATAGATTTTAATGGTTCGTGAAAATGTGTAATTTTCATCTGATTTTTTATGTTTGCGATCCGAAGGAAAAAGTTTTTCAATGATTTAGAAATATTTGTTATTTCTCTTTCTTTATCTGTTGGT